GTTTACTTATGTATACCTTATTCCTTTCGCTACTTTTTAACTTTTAGCAATTTCGTCAAAGTCTGCAAGGGTATTAAAACTTCGGCTTGCCGAAGTTAGCTTCCGTCCTCGTTTCTATTTGTATATGACATTTTTGCAGTATAAAAGCAATTGACTTGAAACGATGCAAATCTAGTTTACTTATGTATACCTTATTCCTTTCGCTACTTTTTAACTTTTAGCAATTTCGTCAAAGTCTGCAAGGGTATTAAAACTTCGGCTTGCCGAAGTTAGCTTCCGTCCTCGTTTTTGTTCGTTCTTTGGGATCGGCGGCCCTACGCCAACAAAACTGGAGCTGCAGCCACATCACGATTTGGCTACGATCGTGGCATTCCGAATTCAAATGCTGGCCACGCCACCACAGATTGCATAATTGCCACGACAGCACGGCGATCATCGAACTTTGGAGAATTACATTTTAAATGTACTTAATTGATGGTTTTTCGACACTTCATTACAACCCAAATAAAAAACACATTTACTAACACATACAATTGTGTATTTTTTCATATTTGATAGATTTAAAATTGCAAAACATATTAAACCATGAGTACTATCAATATTTGTAATTCGTGAAGATTATTGAATGAGTATTTTGAGATTTTATGCTTGTGATTTAAGAGCTCAGTTTCGTATAAAATCTAAATTATTTCCGAAGGTGACCCTTGAAACATTTTATTCAATTTATTGAGGTTGTATGTAATCAAAAACTATAGTTTCAGGTTAAAAGACTTAAAAATGGTTTTATTTATTTAAGTATACCTATAGCTAATTAAAATAAAATATATTAAAATTTGTTTATTTAAGGTAAGGATATATTTATTTATATTTATGTTTAGATTAATCACAAATAATTTAAGAAAAATAGTTAGTTTTAGAACATAATACAAATTATCACCAATCTTATTACCGCCAGCACAACATCATATCAAGGCAATTTCAAATTTTATTCAAATTGCATAACAACGACCCCTATGTGCATCATTTTCCCATCAGTTCGATTATCTCTTCATGCAATGTATCTTATTATTGAGTGTGGCTAATTTGCCCGCAAGAGGTCAACAAGTCGGGACAATGGTCAGCGATGCTGCCTCTCGCTCTGGCACACGTCCTGCAGGACCAGTATTGAATACAATACCAGGGACAGCAAGGATCTGCGAACGAAAGTGAAACCAGGATCGATAGCCTCGAGCGATTCGAGCGACTGACACACGCTGTCCTTTTGGAAAACAAAGGCCTCGAAATGCGACAAATTCAAACAGTTTTTGTTTGGACTTTCGTTTTTTTTTTTTTAGGTTTTTCGAATGCACGTTGTTTTGTTCGAGTCAAAGTTCCCAGACATCTTTTGTAATTGGATCCTTTTCGGGAGAGAACGATCCCTGCGCGTGTGAAGCGCGACGAGTGCGCGTATATCTATTTTCATTTTCGCTGGTTTCTCCTAAATTCCCATTCTTCGAGCGTTGTTTATGTCGCATAAAAAACCGAAAACGAATCCGAGGGATACTTTTCCCTTCCCCAAAACACCCGCACTTCCAAGGGTCGCTGGAAATGGCGTACGGCGTGTAATTTATGCCAAATATGATAGCAGCGAATGTTTGTCCTGGGTGTTTACAGACATCACGTTTTCCCTGTCTTCTTCTCTTGTTTCTCCTCGAGTTTCCACATGAAAAGTGACAGTTGCAGATCCAAGTGCGATAAGAAAAGTCTGTCTAGTCCCCAATGCTAGTATTTTCACATTTCCCGTCTGGAGATCGGGCACAAAAAGAAAATGAGATTCTTATCAAGCTGATATAGTATTTAGCATAGACTTATTTTTAGCCCTAGTGAAAAGAGGATAATATTTATAATATTTATTATATTATATTATATTCTATTCTGTTCCTTCTGAAATGTACATGCAAATAAGTATTAGCTTTGGCCACAAGGCTTCAAGTCGAAACTGGGTAACAAATTTGAGTATATATATGCATTACAATATTCTATAAGTTACTTTACTTAAACTACTATCTAATTAACCCTAAAAATATATAGGTACATATTAATTATACACAAAAAGTATAGCGACCTTAGTTTGAACAATTTTATTAGTATTATTATTATTTTAATCTTCCATTACAAAAATAAAATATATTAAAATAATTGTCTACAAAAAAAAAAAAACAGCGATAAAATTATATCATTCTTTATAAGAAATTAAAAATAACAAAGTAAATAACTTGTTGAAAAACTAATTAATATAACAACTCCAACCAATATGCGTAAAGCATAAATTAAACTGTGAACTTTTTAATTTCTGTACCATTTTGAATTTACCCGATCGATATTAATAAGTATCAGAAAAATGCAAAGTCGACCCAGACCTTAAGTGTCGTCACAGACAATGTTCCCAATTATTTTCAGCGGGGGGGAAATACGTAATGCCAAGGCTGTTTATCTCGGAAAAAATGGCCACCCCCTGGAAACCGCAACGCGAAAAGCCAAAGTAGAGCAAGTAGAGGAAAATATTGCAGGAAATGTGTGGAAGCTCCTGTCGCATTTTTAACGCTTTTTAGCATAAACAACAACGACGGCAAGAATCGCAGAAGGGCCATCTGGGGGGTTGGTGATATAAATATATATATATAATATAGTAAGGTTTCCACGTCTGGCCGAAGTCTGCTGCAGCTTTGGCTTTATTTTCCGGTTTTTTTTTTTTTCGGTCGTTCCTTCGATTCGATTTTCAACCCCTGGACGACTGCTACAAAAAAATTTGCATGCGGCCCGTCGCGCTTTGTTGTTGCTGCAAAATTGCCAGATACAAGACACTCGCACACGCACAATCCACTTTTAATAATGCACACTGCGTGTGTGTTCGTGTTTTCGCTTCGGAGGGAGGGTGTTTTGGGGTGTTTTCGATAAGTACTTTACGAGAGACAACCCTCGTTTTGCGGATTTTTTTATGGTCCGCCTTTGGCAGTGGCAACATCAAAGTTCATATCCTGCTTCCGGTGGTTGCTCCTGGAAAAAGGGAGTGGAAATGCCTGCCACTGCCACTGGCATTGGCTATTCCTTGCAATTTCGCGAAATGCAATGACTCTTCGATTGGTTTTTTGGCGAATCGCAGTGGCGATTTCGCAAGTTTTCCAGCGTTTTAGGGGTTGGGTTCGGGGTGGTGGTGGTTTGCCTAAGGGAGGTCTTTTGGACCAACGAATCATGTGCGAAAATTGAGCAAAAATTAGAGAGTGGTGTCAATATAAAGTTGCCAATAATGATCTAGGATGACTAGCCTTAAGACAAGATCTTATTATATACTTCCAATTAATTTATCTATGGTAGGGCTAATAAAATGTAACAATTATTTAAAATTTTGTATACTTAGAAAGAAATGTAAGCCTGTAAAAATATCTAAAACAACATTATATAAAAGTACTATAAACTGCAAATATACTTAAACAAAAATAAACGATTAAATAATGGTGTGTCCTCCAGAAAGGATTTCCATAATCGTTATTTCATTACAGGTCAACGAAAGAAGTTATTTTCAAAATTCGCATAAATCAAAAATCTTGCAAAAAGGTATTTCCTAACCCTTTGTTAAGAAAATTCATCGTTTCCTTGACTCCTAAGACAAGGAAGTCTTCGTTTCAGAATTTGCATAATAACGAGGATAAAAATAGGGATCCCTTGAATATGCAAATGACCAAATCAATCGAAGGCTAAATTAAAATCGATCAAAATTGATTTGTTGCCCGGTGTGCAGAAACCCAAACAACGCACCCCGAAAACTTCGATCACTTAGGTCCTGGCTGCCTCCAAGTCCAGGACATCGCCGAAGGAGTTGAGCGAGGAGCGTGAGAAAGTCTCCTTTTTGCACGAGTGATTTACATAATTTTTGGGCAAGTAAATTGCATGCACATCTCATGTGGACCTTATGCAAATGAGCGACGCTAGTGGTGCCGTCTCGCTTCAACCCCCTGCGGCCAGGACGAAGGACGAAGGCGCAGGACTCAGGTGTGCGAGCGTGTCGGCATGCTGTGAGCGAGGCGCCGTCCACTGTGCCCGTAATTAACCCCTGTCTGTGGCATTTCCCTTTTTCCTTCCCATTTTCACTTTCGTTGGCATCCCGGTCCTTTTGGCAGTTTCGCAAGTCGAGGTTCCTTATGCAAATGAGAGTGCATCCTCACCCTTTTTCGCCAAGTGAAAATCTTATGCAAATTTTCCTGCTTGTGGAAAACTCCTTCCGCCGCGAGATCCGAGATTTGCATGATCTCCGCTCTAATTTGACTGCTGGGTGTCAGGTACTGCGAGCATCCTTCCTCGCTCCTTTATTGCTGCGATCGTGAGAAAGTTGGAAAATTTGCATAATTTTTTCGTGAAAATTTTGCCGGCTACGTGATCGTTGCAAAGACAGCCGAGATCGGAGATCCTAAATCACTGATCTATGATCGCAATTTCCCTTTCCCATCCGCTGGTTTTATTCGTCGGTATGTGTCAACGACTTCTTGTGCGACAAAGATTTCCAAATTAAAAAATCTCATTATACATAAATTAATTTTTGTTTAGTTTGTTAATTGGGTTTTTACTTAAGGGGTTTTCTTAGGAAATACTATTTTGTAATGCTTAAACTTTTGAATTATTTTTAATTTAAATAGATTTATAAAATTGGAAATGTGTTTGTTTCCCAAATTAAAATTATTTTAATTATTTACAATGTTAGTACAAATATTTTGCGTTGTTATTCAGAACTTTTGAGAATCGAAATTGATAAAGTGGAAAAATATGTAAATGGTAATATGTATGAATTTATAAAAATAAATAAATTTTTGTTTTTTTCTTACCTTTGGTTTTGTATTTCTAAAAATTTGTTTTAATAATATTATTTATTAAAATGGTTTGTTCATAATAATCGCAACAAACATGAAAAAGATTGCTGTTGGTAAAATAAGTGACTTATAATATGAAATAGTTGTACATACAAAATATCAAGTAAAGACATTTAAAGAATCCGCTTTTCGTTTGGGACCACGACTGGCTCCCTCTTCGTTGTCGGAGGAATCGCTGCTGGAGCTGGCACTGCTGCTGGAACTGGAGCTCGAACTGGGGCTGGAACTCGAGCTGGAGCTGTTGCCCACTCTTGATCCGTGGAGCGACTCGCTGCTGCTGCTGCTGCTCATCTGGAGGTCGCTGACGAGCGTGGACTTGGGCGAGCCCAGGGTCTTCTTCTGCGGGGGAGTCCTTTTCCTCGGCAGGTTCAGCAACTTGGAGGACCCGTTGATATTGATGCCCTTCCCCTCCCGCCGCCTCTGTGGGCTGGGTGGGCCGGAGGAGTCGTCGCTGGTGTCGCTCAGATTGCGACTCTCACCCACACATCCTTCCGATCCGCCAACTGCCAACTTTCCTCCTGGTGGCTGCTTCAATTTGGCCGGGACAGGACCACATGGCCTCTTCCGCACTACGTTATTATTATTTTTATTATTATTCGATTTCAGATTGTTCAAGGGCGCAGCATTTCTGCGGCGATTTCGGTTCAGGAGCTGTGTAATGTCCACCAACTGGGATTGCAAGGTGCGCTGGAGTCCCTCCTTCTCCGAGGGCTGCATGTCCTTGAGGTTCAGCTTACTGTGGGCCCTCATCGCCTTGGCCACGGCCCGTTTCATCAGGACCAGGGTGTCCGCTGCGAACTCCTTGACATCGAAGCTCAGGTCGCCGCAATTCTCCGAGGACAATCCCTCGGTCTGTTGGACCAGGTGGACTATCTCCCTCATGGCCGTCGAAGGAAGTTTGGCAAACAGTTTCTGTATATTACGTCGTTCTGTGTCATTTACAGCATCCATTGGTGCTTCGTTACCCTCATCATCGGTGGACTCCAAGCTCACCGCAGTGAGGGCATCCATTTCACTGCTCTTTAGCAAATCCCGAGCTGGCTTGAGTTCCCCCTGGTTCAAATCCTCCTCCTCCTCCTGGTTGGTGCTCAATCTCTGTTCCTTTTTCGATGAGTTTCTCAGGGGATCCGATCTAGATGCTTCCAGTTTAAGTTTCACCTTGCCCACGCTGGCACAGAAGGCCTCCACCAAAGACCTGGCTCTCGAAGGCTCCCAGGTCCCAATCTGCGGCTGGAGGCACTGCATCAAACCCATCTCAGCCAGCTTGGCGGCCTGCAGCAGCTCATTTAGATCCGCTTCGGACAGCACCGAACTGCCCAAAGGACTCGGCATTTCCGTCAAGGATGTACTCCAAGATCCCGACTGATTTATGGCTCTTTCGTAGATCATCTTGCCCGGATCATGGTACTTCCTGAAGATGCCATCCACATGCGAGCGGAACTCGTCGAAGGTCTTGAAGTAGTGCTTGTCCAGTTTCTTGACCAACGAATCCCACTTGGCATTGAAGAAATTGCGGGCTGTGGTATCCGCCTGATTGGTGACGTTCTGCAACTTCTTCAACAACTCCCTGCAGAGGCGTTCCGTGTGCGCTGGGGTGGCCAGAATCTTGGCATTGGCCCTCGGCTTGCCCACTGCCTTGGGATCTTTGTTGCAGGGCAGATCCGGACCCTGGGGCATGGCCTTGATCTTCTTCACAAAGAACTTCTCCAGCATCTGACCCTTGCGAAAGACGACGTCACCAGGCCGATTGAACATGAAGCAGTTGCGGATGATCAGCCGGAAGTCTGAGATCGCCTCCTCAACATCTCGGTAGTAATTGTTCTGCACCCGTTTCAGAATCGTTCCCACATCCATGGGACGATCTATGACCGCGTAGTAAGTGGGCACCTTCAAAGCCTCCGTATCGACAGGTTCCAAGAAGTCCAGGGCAAACTTCTTCTTGCAAACCTCGTCCAGTACATGCTTCTTGAAGTAGTGCATCTTGTTGGTATACTGGCCGGCTTTTCCGGGCTGAGGTACAACCTCCGGTTGGACGCGATTGGGGAGCTTTAGTTTCACGGAAAGTGACTTGTGACAGGCCTGCAGAATGGGTTTTTCTAGATTATTCCCTATAAGTTATGCACTTTACTCACCATTCTATTTGTTTACTGGATATTTAACAGTTTTTCAGCTAAACTTAACTAACTTTCAGGTCTTCTTGATTGTGACCACGCTTATCTATCAATTCTACATTGGTAAAACCCTGAATTCGCTTAGAAAAACGATTTAAATTGCGTTGAAACTTTTGCCTGGATTTTTTTCGGCACAATTTTTGTGCTGAAAAAAAATGCATTTCCACCCTGTCTGTCATGCTGTCAGCTTAAATCGCAATGCCTACTGCCATTTGGCCAACACTGCCGAAAAAGTGTTGGCTAAAAGTTTCCAGGGTTGCAGTAAAAACCCAGTTTTATATTTTGTCGTTTTATTCAATTTTAGAGTAAATTATCAAAATAAGCTGTGCCAAATTGAATAATAAATGTGTGTCATAGTTGCCATTTTGTGTAAACTTTCTCGTTTTTAGAATAGGTAAATATGTACATTTTCACTGCATTTTAGATCCTTGCTGAATCCCACCTCCTCGTTTAACGACAGTGTGCCAATTATAGACTGGATAATGGGATATTGGAAGACACTGAAACTAAAGCAAACAATGGCACATCAAAGCAAACGGGACAAACAACCACCCACCACCTGACAGTCCCCACCCACCACGTATTTATAATATTTTGCACCACTTCACAGGCTTTTAGCTTTCTACTCCGCCTCCATTTCAAAATGTGGCAATGGGACATAAAAACTGTTTTTTGCAATTTACATCAACATTTTTATCACCCCACCACCCACCCTTCGTGGGGTACAACAACAACATGCTTTTCCTATTTGCATACATATGTAAGTGTGTCCCATAAATACAGATATACGGACACGCCCACACCTCCGTCCATTTCGGCAGCCTCCTGCGTCTTTTTGCGCACTTAATTACACACGCATACGCTTCATTCCACTTTGCGGTGCTGCTTCACCCACCCAATCACCCCACCACCCAACCACCCACCGTCCCACCCACTGGAGGACAGGTCTCCACTTCCGTCTCCGAACCACCGCGATGGGACAGGCCCACTACGGAAATAGACACGGGGGCACACTCTGGAAAAATCACACAAAATGGAGGTCATTATTGTAATCCAAATCAATAACGCAAATTAATAATAAGCAACTGATGTGATGTTCATTGTTCGAGTGGGTACAATAAATTAAATACAATAAATTAAATTTTATTTAACGTAACTGAATTGTAAAATCAATTAATTTTTATTGCAAACTCTAATATGTAATATATCTTCTCCAATTAAGTATTTCCATTTGGTTATATTAATAATTAATTATAAGCCACACAGAAAATAAAATTCTTGCTTTATAATTAAGATATGTAACATGGGAAAATGCCATTTCCAAACTGAAAACATTAGATATAATATTAAATTTCCAAGCCATTCAAACATATTTAAGGTAAATCTTATAATGTATCTGTGATATTGCTTATGATTAGGATTAATAGTGAATTACATTTGGCTAAAAGATATTTTTCAAAAAAACACGGATTTTCAAGATAGATTTATTGATATATATGTTGTGTTAAGGAACGATTGTCTTGTAAATTTGTAAATGAAATATTGTTTTAAGGCGTTTACCCAGTTGACTTTTATTATTTTGCATTAGATTAAATTTTTTTTTTATATTTTACAAAAATATGAAACAATTAATAAAAGTTTATAAAATTTCTATCTTTATTCAGAAACGCACAGATTAGAATACAATAAGTGATATTTTTTAGATAACAAGCTTATAACTACCTATTTATCAATATTTATTATTGCTTTGAATAAACCATCGTACTAAGTAATGCTGTGGTTATTTTGTAGCATCACCGGTTTCTCCTCTGTAAAGTGCTCGTGGTACAGTCCTCATGTCGTTCTATGTGTATCCTTGACTAAGGACTCCTCGGACTGCGAATTTGTTGCTCTTTAGGCCGCAGACTCACAAAAAGGCGACTCACGCAATCGGGCGACGCAGGATGGCCGGCTATCGCAGGTTCTACCTGCCGGCCAAGGTGTCAATGTTGCCTTATCATCCCAGGAGTCGATCCCAGCCCCGACCCCTGACCCCTGACCTCTCGCCCCTGCCAACGTCCACGTCCTTGTCCATTCTTTCGTTAATTTTATCTCTGACGGCGATTAATGCGAATAAATTTTATAGACGAAAATGTGCACTCGCATGTCCCGTCGCCGAGTTTTCCTCTTTGTGTGAGTGTTTTCCCTTGGACCTTTTCCCCCGCCCCCCTCTGAAACGTCTCCTCCGTTTCCCATTTTCCTCTTTCCCTTTCCCTTGCCCTCGGCTAATGTTTTCTTACTGACTTTTGTGGCCATTGTGCGCCGTCTGTTTTGGAGTATGTGACTTTTGCTGTTTGTCTTCGGCACCTGCAGACCTGCAGTTGTTAATTGTTCGATTCCCGATGCTTACGCGATCTTGCAGCTCTCAGGATCCCTCGGCGATCCTCTGTTTTATTTATTTTTTAGCAATTGCCGCTGACTCAGCATCCGTGGAGAGCGTGGAAACTCGTAGGATTTTCCCCCCACCCTCAATTAGGATAGGGCTCGGCATCGAAACAGCAACAGGGAACGGCGAACAGGTCCAGGTACAGGCTGTCCGGCGCAGAAGAGATACAAGATGTGATATAAACAGGTTTTCCATTTTCTTACCCTCGTCGTGGTCGCGACACTTGTCCCGCTCCCCGATTCCCTCCATTCTCCATTGTTTGCGATGTGTTAACCTTAAGCGATTTCTGACTTTGGCCGCTCTTTGGACCCCATTGTTGCGACCCTGACTTCGATACATTTCGATTTGGATTTTGATATAAAAATGTGCCCTAACAATAGAATCCATTTCTGTGGGAACGCCGCGAATCCTGGCCAAAGGACAAAGACGATCGCCGATAGCGATCGCGGCCAAAAGATGCAGGTTGCCTGGGATTTATTTATTTTCCCTGGTTTTTCTTTTCTTTTTCATTTTTTTGGGTGGGAGCGGCGCACCCACGTACGCACTATTTATGGATTTCCGTTGGGAATGGCGGAAAAGCTATGCCCTCGCTCATTTTATTCGCGCCGCTCCCGAAACATAAACCAAATTGAAGGGGAGTCAATGACCCGGCGGGAAAGTGGGAAAACGCAAAGACTGAAGACGACGAAATGTTGCAATTGCAATTCACCAATTTAGCTGGCTGCGCCCGCATCTTGGTCAATAAAGGGAATTGATTGAGAAATTGTGAAAATAAATTGGAAATGCAAAAGAGGGGGGGAAGCGTGCGGCGCGAGTGGTGAAAGTCCAACAATTAAATGGCAAACAAATTTCCGCCAATTATTTGACATTAATTATGATCCATCAGCGGATGAGGGTCAGTGGGAAGGCAGTAGAGTTTTTCCACTAAAAGGAACTCCTTGGAGCTCCTCGCCGAAAAAAGGGTTGTTTACCTTTTTGAAAAGCCATGCTGGTGCTATCAGATCACCCATGAATCTTAATCAGCGAAGCGTTCTGTTATGGCGGTTTGCATTTCGCCGCTTTCCCAGGCGTTACTAAAAAAAATCTGAGTCTTAATTCCCCTGCCACTTCTTGCACATGGAAAAATAGTGTTTACTAAACAAAATGGTATTTCAAACTTTTCCGAACTTGGATATATTGCCATAACAGGTTAAAAAAAACTTATATTTGTGAAGATTTTTTGGAAATAGTTTTAGTTTGGAGTATTTAGCTAATTGATATCGCAAAAAATTATTTTCAGGCAAATTGTAATTTCATAATCAAAGACTTAATTAAAATTTATTCTTAATACACTTTGAAAATACGAAAACTTTTGTAAATTATATTTAGACGCTCTTATTGAAATTTAAATAAATATTCAAATTTGGTGCTGTGCGTAATGTGCATTCATGGGTGAATCTGTCAAGCGTTTCTTTCGGACCCACGGAAAATGCCTCAAGAGTCATTGACTTTGGGGCACCAAAACGCATCTGCATGCGGTGCAATGGCCGATGACGCTGACGGCCCAAAACGCCAATCGACCAAGACGCCGCTCCGCCCCGCCCCTTTTCTAACCAATTAAGCCATGAGAAGCTGCCCCAAACTGCAATCAAAGAAGGCTGGAGGAAAGCAAAAACCTCAAAATGAAACATTTTTCTCGAGGCCCATGTCCGAGCCCGAAAAACGCATTACGCGATGAGGAAAAGCGGGTTTAGAGCTGTTAGACGGACTACCTGTGCAGGTTTTTGGCCCCACAACTAATACCAAAAAAAAAAGAGGCCGCAAAAAACCAAGAGCAACAACAAGAAACGATCATCGCAGTCGGGCGAGAGTCGTGAAAAGTGTTTTCTTGGCTCAGCATCACATCGGCCGAAAGTCAGTCCCGCCCGACTAGATTTCATATCGCTGTGGCCGGGGATTACACACTTTGTGCATTTGCCGAGTATGGCCATAAGTTTATGGCCTGACCCCGCCGCGAACCCTTGCCCCCCACCTCCATCGATTGATTTCATACACTTCGGAAAATGTATCTTTAGTATTAGCAAGACTTTGCAAACAAAACTAAGCTGAATTAAATTACGAAAGTGTTGAACCTCAAGAGTATAACAGTCACTAATGTATGATTGTAACTAATGTATGTAATGTTTATGAAAATTCCTTTAAAATAAAATTTAAAAACACAACATTTGTAATAAATATTTTATTTGAAATTAGGGGAAATTGTTTCATAGGATTTTCCATTTGTCTTATAGAAACGAAATAGTCAATACTTTTCAGTTATGATCAACAAAATAATAAATGAATTAATGGCTTATAACCAAAACATCTAATTTCTGTTTAATTAATTGGTTTTTAATTTGTAAAATTTCGGTCAGTGTATTTCTGACTCTTCATGGGTTGACAATCTTGTAGGCGTGTTGAATCGCGGACGGGGGAAGACAGCGATTGGAAATGGTAATGGGACCGGGATCGGGATCGGGATTGGGCATAAGAATGGGAATGGGAATAAAAATCGGGATTGGGATGCACATTTCAAATGTGCAGCGATCTGCAGCGGCTGATAAAGTAAGAGTCTGGCCCGAACCTGTTTAATGGCCAAAAAACGATCGAAAAGCGAACGAACAAAACGACAAAATGAAATGCATAAACGTAAATCTCGCAGCAGGTAGTCCCCGGATGGCCAAGATGGAGGTGGAGATGTGATGGAGATGGGATGGAGATCTTTTGGCTGGACCTGCAACATTGCGTTTAATGATGACTCTTCGGTCTCGCCGGCGACAATAAATTTCTCAATTTTCCTCTGCTCCAGATTGCTGCTCCTGATTGTCCTGTCTGCACATTTTACGCACTATTTGAAGCACACAACTGCGCACTTGCCAGGTGCATAAAATGGGTTGAATGGATAATCAGCCACAGGGGCGGGGGCAGATCGAGGGGTGGGGGAACTAAGGCAAGGGATTCGATTTCTGCGTGGGTGATTTTCTTGATTTCCCAGGGCAAAGAAAGGGTTTTCAGATCGATTGATCTCGTGAGACTGATGCACTTGCATGGAAAAATAAATATTTGCATCACTTTTCCCGGCAAACAGATAAATCCGAGTTTAATCTGCGGTTGCGAGTGTGTGAAAATAGTTTTTCGCCAGCACCAGCAGAATGCTGATTTTCCAATTGAGTTTTCCGCTTTTTACTTGCCAATTGGCAGAGCTGCGGGTCAAAGGTTGCTGCTCGGAGAAAGGCAAGACAATTGCCAAAAGCGGGTGATGATTGTGATTTTTTTGTGCAGTGCCTGCGATAAGGAAATTAGTTTCCCTTGCAAGTAAATAATAGCAGTTTTGCTCCCCCTGGGCGTGTGTGTATCCGCTGTCCAAAAAGTACAAAATACACAACAAAGTGCACCCAAATAGTTATCGCAAACAAGCGGAGCCGAGAAAAATGCGTAGACAGCACCGAAAAAGTTCATTGACTTTCGCATACAGAAACAACAACAACACGCATCTTTTTAGTGCGTTTATTGCTGCACTGAAAGAAAATATTTTACACCCGAAGCTTACATTACAAGTTCCGTGGGATTTTAAAATCGTCTTTAAAAGCGATTTATTTTAAAATGCAATTTGTTATTGTTTTTATTTTGTTGAAAGAAATTGTATTTTAAAAAAAACTTTATATTGTTTGTACTACATTCGTTTCAATCTCTCTTATTCTAATTTAATTCAAAATAATCCATTACTTAAATGGTCTTAGTAATTTATGACGTGAAACGACGTCTTTATAAATTAAAATATATTATGAATAAAATTATTTTTTTAATAGTGAAAATTATCAGGAATTTTGTTATTAAACAGAAATTTTTCAAGTGTGCCGTTTTTGAACAGAAATAAATATGGCTGCCCCAACTCAGCGTGTGCACAAAAGAGCAAACTCCAAAGAGTGCACACAAAAAATTACATTAAAGTGAAAATGAGCGATAACAACGCAAACACAAATGCAGATACAGATACAGCCATAGAAATAGATACGCATACACGCACTAACACAGGAGCAACACAGCGCCACCAGCAGTAGAAAAACAACAAGAACAGCAACTCCCCACCCCTGACCACCCCCTTCACTCCCCCAGGCCCCATGCCATCCGACATTCGAGAAAACTGCACGGCCAACGCAGCCATATTTATAAAGAAAAAAAAAGCAAGCAAGCCATACAAATTCGTTTTCGCTTTGATACGATCGTGAGAATGAGATAGCCTGCTCTCCCCATCTCACCCAAGTGCATTTGGTATAACACTTTGCTGGTTTAGTGGGGTTGGGGGTATTTCCCCTTCTTCAAAGCTGATCTGATAAAAGCCAAAGTGAAGTTCATCCTATAAGTGTGCTATGTTTTCTTAAATAGCCTTTCGCCAATACTGTAGTCCAGTAAATTGTATTGCATACTTTTAAGCTGGATATAAAAATCTACGAAGCGTCAGACTGCAGACACAGCTATTTTATAGCTATTTTTATATTAACTATCCACTCGTGTTAATAAAAATTATACTCATAATACTAAATTAAATTTAATCTTAATTGTCACGGCTAACGAGTCTGAAAAAATGTTCCCTGTGATCCCGGCAAAAAATTACTATTAATCTTATTTTTATTGGTAAGAATTCGGGAAAAATATTATAAATTATTCTAGAAATAACATTAACCGAAAATATAAAATTTTATTATTATTATTTTATATTATTATTTATAATCATGGTGACTTTGTTTTCGATTTTTAGCATATATTACTTAAATTATTAATTACTATTAATAAAGCTTATAGATTTATATATGTATATTTTAGTGTATTGGATTTTCGGCTTCAAATAAAATTAGAATATTAATGATTAAAACGACACTTATTTTCGTGTTCAGCGAAATGTGTAATTTCGATATTGTATTGCAAAACTGGTACTATTTACCAAATCATTTTCGTATAATAACAATAAACATCAACTATCTGTATCGTCGTATCAAAGGTAAATTAAAATTTTGAGTACCTACTTCATGTATTACTGAGCATCAAATGATAGTCACAAATAATCAATATTCATTTTCAGACATCAGTTGTTACTAATTTTTATAAGCCATGTGCTCGAAGGTTATCTTCCTTGGGTTATTTCTGGCAGTTTTCTTTTTATTTTGCACCGTATGATACTTCCGTTAATAGTTAAAAATCAATTTAAATATAAAACCTTTTCTTCAGGAAGCACCCTTTGTTAAAATGACAAACGTGGTCTGTGATTCGTACAACAAATCATGGACCGTTTTCCATTATTGTCGACTGAAGGCCTATTCGCGTAATAAGACCAGCTTGCATATAAATGCAACGTTTCTGCATCCTGCCAACAATATATCCCTCAGATTGAAGATGATGAAACGGGCCAATGGCTACAAGCCATTTCTCTTTGATTTCACTATCGATGCCTGCCAGTTTTTACGAAGGCGGAATAACCCCGTCATCAAGATGTTCCATAATTTGATTAGGGACGTGTCCACGCTAAACCATTCCTGTCCTTATGTGGTGAGATGGCTTATTGAATTGTTAGTCACCTGTGCTTTATGTATCTTTATTGTCTTTTAGGGCTTGCAGGTGGTAAGCGATTTTCATCGTGTTGAACTGCCAGTTCCATTTCCATCCGGAGATTATGTCGTGCTATTAGATTTTATATTCGATGGCAAGACGCAGTTCTTTGTAAACATTTATTCTCACTTGGTAGAGGATTTTTAAAAATAATGTTATATAATTGTTATATATAATACTGAAAATAATTTTCAATAAATCTTTTATTCATTATTTCACAAAAGTGTTTGCCGTACTCGTATTGAAAATCGCAATCTAGAAATTTCAATTTGTGTACCCATTGACCCAATCGGGTCAAAATTGTTAAATTTGCTGCCTTAATAGAAAATTTAGAATGTTTCGGTTTTCTGCTAATATAATATATATATCCCAGTAAATGACCAATACCTTGAGTCTTATGATTGCCATATTGGCCTTAAAGTTTATTCGCACAGTGTAAAATTTATTAACATAAGACTACAATACAATTTTTTTATGTGTACACTGATCATGTTAATAAGCCGATCGGACGATATCCTATATATGTCATTGGAATGATCGGTATTTTTAGGAAAATATTTTTATTTTCAATTATACTTAAAAGTCGGTAAGTCAGAAGTAATAAATTTAAATTCATAAAAACTCCTGAGGGAACCAAACAAAAAATATCACATTTAAATGAAACAAAATAAGACGGCTAAGAATTTATTTAATTTATTTTATGTTGTTATAACGAGATAGATATTGTTAATATACAATGGATGTTCAATTTACACACTCGATTAAATTTTCTATTCGATTGTTTAGATTTCAAGTTATTATTTGTGAAACTAACATCGTACAAATTATTGCAGCATAGTTTTGGGCTAAGCAATGCTGGGGAAATTCGTTTCCCACTTATAATTTTTAAAGAGGATATTATAATATTTTTTTCGAACCTTCGTTGGTTTAAATTAAATATTTTTTGGTGACTTAATTTAAAACAAAAGAGTTTTAAGTTCAAGCCAAGAATAAATGGACTATCAGAAATATGTATGACAATGTTTATTATCAAAAAACAATATTAGCCGTTTGTTTTCTAGATAAAAAGGTCTAGTTGTAACAATTAACCCACAAAAATTTCTTAACTCTTTTCGCTTGGCTCTCTATTCCGTCAAACCAATAAGGAGTTCAATAAGTATTGGATAATCGGTTCTTAGGGCCGATTTCCGCAATCTGTTGCAAAGTTAACATAAAGACCAATTTATTTTCTTAAAAGGATGTTAAGTTTTCAAACGACAAATCTTTACAGGGTCTGTAAAGAATGTTGTTAGCCCAACCCTGAAAAAGAATAGTAGGCTACAGAAAACTGTCAAAAGTGACAATTAGAAATTGCCAAATCATTTCAGAACTTTTCCTGTTGAACCTGATTCATTTTTTGGCCAAGCCACTGAAATCCGGCAGCAAATTCCTCAAACTTCAAGTCGAGCGCAGCCTCAAGGATCTCAGACGAGAGCCAAGTCTGGTAAGCCAACGCCAACCAGCTAAAGTCACCAGAAGCACGATGGCGGACTCGAAGAGGCCAGTCTCCGAGAACTGGTGCTAGCTAAGGTTCAGCCACCGCTCCTCCATCTCAAGCTTGAAAGTGGACTCATGGAGCCTGGAGCTCCCGTGGACCAGGAGATGAACCAGATCCTCGGACAGCCTGCACTCAGACACTCTGGAAGACGAGACGTGGGATGGCTCGGAGATGTATACAGGCAGCAGGCCCTTGGCCTCGTCCGCCAGAAAGTCGCTGCGGGTGAACTTCTTAAAACCCCAACCCTTGACCAGCTCAAAATTGTGAGCTCTTTGGGATTCCACGGCCTTGGCCTCCTTAAGCCTGGCAGAATGTAACATTTCAATTTGGCTCTTTCTTCTGGTCCATCGTACGAAACTAGCAGCAAATAAATCGAAAGGAAATATTGGCGTTCCTCTTCGAGACCCATGGGATTAAAGTATTAACATCATTCAGTTCCTGATTAACAGCTGTCGAGAATTCCCCTATCTGTTCCCGACAGAAAGTAAATGGCAATATATATATTTTCAATTACATTTAAAAGTCGGTAAGTCAGAATTAATAAATTTAAGTACACAGAAATTCATGCAGAAAACACTTGTGTTGTTCAGATTTAAATTGGAAAAAAATTCATTTATTTATTTCTTTAATGAACAATGTTATAACGATCAAATATTGTAAGTATACAACGGATGTTCAATTAAAACCCTCGATAAAACTTTGTATTCGATTTACTAAATTTCAAGTTTGGAAAAATAGTTTCCCACTAATAATTTTTATTTAATTTGATGCTTTCCCTGCCTTTGATTTTTTTATTGCAATATTTTATGATGCCTAATTTTTTGTCTATAACATATTTATTTTCGATAAATCTGTGGTGCGATTAGAATCCAAAATTAAATTAACTTAATAACATATACATATGTGGCAATGTTTATTTTCACAATACAATATTAGCCGTTTCTTTTCTAGATAAAAAGGTCTAGTGGTTACAATTAAAGAACAACAATATTATAACTCATCAAAGGTCTTTAACTGGTATTTAATCATCGGGTTTTAGGGCCGATTTCCGTGATTTGTCTGAAAGTAAACACAAAAAGCAAATTAATTTATTAAAAGTATGTTAACTTTTCAAACGACAAATCTTTACAGGAACTGTTGTCACACGAGTCTGAGGATATTACGAATTGTGAAATCATTTCGGAAACGTTTTTTCATTCAGAGGCAAGCTATAGAACACGCTGCTGAGGAACCTGCTCAATTTTTTTGAAAAAACAATTGAATTTCGACAGCCAATTCGTCTAAGTTCAATTCAGACTGGAGTCTGGCAACAAAAACTGCTAAATTCACCTCAAACCTTTCAGAAGCTTGACGGCAGCTTCGAATAAGCAGTCTCGTAGTAATGGTGCTATGCACAGGTAAAAGTAATTAAATTTAGTTATAAATAAACCTTATCAACTTTGGTTTTTGTAGGGAACAGATAGGCGCAGTATTCAAATCGTTCAAATTATCGACCTGTGCTAATGACGAACTGTTAACCCCATGGGTCTCGAGTGGAATGCAAATATTCCCTTTACTACTTTCGTATGATGGAGCAGAAGTCACAGCCAAATTCTAAATTTCCATAGCTAATGCCCGGCGTAAGGAGGCGAAGGCCGTGTAATTCCAAAGAGCTCACCGTTTTATGCTGGGCAAGGAAGAAGCGACTTCCTGTCGGACAAGGCCAACGGCCCACTGCATTCACATTCCCGGATCAACCCATTTCCTGCCGTTCAGAGTGTCCGAGTGGAAGCTGTCCGAGGATCTGGGCCATCACCTTGCCAACGGTGGCTGCAGGCTCATAAGGCCATTTTCGAGCATGACATGGAGGAGCGTCGGATAAACCTAATCTTAAACAACTGGTGAATCTAGATCTCTGTAAAAGCAAAAGCCGAAACACTTATATACTAGTATTGATGTACCAGGTTACACAGTCGGAACACTAATATATTAGTATTAGTGCTTCGTCTGCTGTTTCCATATATATCCCTATATATATATATACAACCGTTATGTCCCAGGCTTTCAATAAAAAAAAGTTCGGTATTTTGCCCATAAAAATTTTTCTCAGTTTTCATGAGGGGTTTCAACATGGTTTCTTGCGAAAATTTGTCTAAATGAAATTTTTGAGCATTGAATGCTAATCGATCGAAAATTTTATAATAATTTGACATTTTAACATTTGATTAATATTACCTAAGTCTTTGACCAAAAAAATGAATTGATTGTTTCGGGGTCTTGGTATAATAGTTTTGCTCAGCAGTTTTTAGTCCAGTAAAGAAGACTATTCCGACCATATAAGTACATGTACTCTTGATCAACCTCATTAGATCTCACTTAACGTTGATCTTTATGCATGCGGCCCTATGAAAAAAATGTTCGATACTTAAGTAGATATTGTTGATATATTTATCAGTTTATATTGCAATATTGTTTAACAGAGGTTATAAGCATTAAATTTCAGAAATTTTTCAAATTGCTTTATCGTCTGACCTAATCTTTATATAATTTTACAAGATCCAAATAAAATTCGGATGGATTATAAGTTAAATTTGTTTACTCTTAGTTTTATTGTACATTTGTCCGCCAAGTTCCGGCCTTTCTATAGAACATTTAAGATTTTCTTATTTTGTACAGATTTAACAGATTTATATTGACACATTTACAGCTCATGCTTCTCGGACGAAGCCTTCGTGACCTTGTGAACTCGGAAGGCCTCCAGAATGTTCAGCTTTCTCAGGAGCTCCAGCTTCTTGGCCTCCGACACTTTGCCGGCCTTGAGGCGCAAGAGGCGCTTGGTCTCCTCCTCCAGGAAGTCGTATCCTAGCTCCTGGATCTTGTGCATGTAGACCAGATAGGCCTTGGCGCTCTGCTGGTCCTCGGGATTGGTCAGCTCCTCCTGTTTTGCCTGCAGCTTCTCGATGAGCTGCAGTTGCTCTGCATCGGGGATATTGGCGTAGTTCTTTAGGGCCTCATTGAACTCCTTGATGCAGCCATCACGACCGATGTAAAGTGGTGAGTTGCTACTGACAAAGGCCTTCAAATTATCCAGAGTAACGTCCATGTGGCTGGGCAGCTGGATGTACTCCTCCACATTGCCCTTGAATATGAAGATAGCCGGGAAGTTCTTGTCGTCAACTTTATACCGGTCGCCCAGAGCCTGAAATGTTCGATTTATATTGTTAAAAGACGGTTTTAAAGTTTCAATGGGACTAAGGCAAATATATTTCTAGTCGAAACTTGATCATCACATGCGATATTCCAAAGTTAAGAATATGAGCGGATACACGGGGGGATTAGGGGGTTCCACACCAAATAAAGTATAATCCAAAAATATTGGTTCTAAGAACCCCCTTTACCCCCGAACCAAATCCCGGATCTGCCACTGACTGAGGGTGCCCTACAAACTCACCTTGTTCTCCAGTTCTCCATAATCCTTGATACCCACGGTGGCCACTAGTAAATCCTTAGTTGCCTTATGTGCCGCCTTCGAGAATGCGGCAAAAGCCTCATGCTTATCGCCATACGGAAATGCAATGTCGAATTTAACAATCGAATAGGGGAATCGCTCCACAGTCCTCTGGAAGCTGAGCTCGTCCAGGTCCACGCAGCCCGTGCAGGATATGGCCCAGGTGGAGGGGATCGCGTGGAAAGCGGCCAGCAGCAAAGTCACCAAAATCCGCATCATCTTCGTGGCAATAACAGAGACTTCTGAACTTGACCCTACTCTTGCCGGTTGTCAAAGCAAACTGGCTTGAAAGCAAGACAAGAGCGGAGAGGACGAGAAGTTGAGGAGTTTAGAAGTGTTTTTCTTCTGGGTACCAGGCAGCATTTCGCTTCGCTCAGCTGAATTTGTTTGGTTGCCACGGCCAACTCACTCACCTGAGCTCTCTGGAGTTCTGAAATTCTCGGTTTTGTGGGGTTCTCGATCGAGTTGAATGACACGTCAGTGGAAGAAACGGTGGCTCTCTCTCTCACTCAAAAACCGGCTATTAGGTTGGCCAACTCTTGTTGTTGGTTCAGCTGATTCGGCAATGGCTATATTGTAACGCTCGCAGGGAGATTTATTATGTAATGCCTGGTATTCGACGTGAGCTCGTCGCTTTTGATTGCCGCGTTCAAATCTACAAATAATTGTCATCCCCATTTCAGAAAAACACTGATGTCAAACTGATAGAAAACTCATTTTGGCCAAAGTGATCATTTGGCCAATAGAGCGTGCCACATGAAGCCGGCCAACGAGGCTTGTTCACAAAATGACAGTGCAAGCGAAGGCCACAGGAAGTGGTAATTTGCAACTGTACAAGAGTCGCTTTTGGAACTACGACGTTTGTATACCCTTTCAAGTGATTATAACTGCACTATAATTATTATCTTTCGCAAGGTATTTAATATTTTGATGTTTTAAATTTTTATTGACAAAAACTATATTGGTCTTATTATTTTAAAAAAATGCAATACATAGATTGGTAATTCCAATGGGAAATCCCGATAAATTAGTTTTGTTTGATGATGTGGCGAATTTTTATTCATTACGATTTTAGGATGAGTGAAAATTTTCGAAAACATTGCCAATTACACAGCATATGAATTGATAAATATTTATAAAATGATTAAAATGCTACAAAATCCTGTTATTCTCTGTAAGTTTTCTTGCATTTTAAAGTTTGGTATCAAGCTCCATATATTCTGAGTGTTAAGCTTACTTTTTGATTTGTTAATAGATACAAAAACCTTATTTTATTTATTTATAATGAAAAGTTATACATATGGAATATTTTCTGAGGTGGTTTTAAGGGACAATGGTAGAAGGCAATGGTAGTAGTCTTTCGATCTTGTCAGGTACAATAATTTATGATTTTATTGAATGCCAATGTCGGATATGTCCCGAATTCTATTATAAATACAGCTTTTTATTTCAAATTAGAAATCGAGATTAATTGCATTTTGAAATAGAGACTCTTAAAAAACCGAATGACTCGTTATTAAAAACAAAATGATTGTTTCCCAAATCAAAAATAATTGTTTTTAACAAAGAATCGTTTCCACAGATCTCAATTTAAGTAGTTTGGACCTAATTTAAGTAGTTTTGACCTACTTTTGGAATTTACAATAAAATATTTACAGAAAACGTTCAGTGAGTTAAATAAAAACCCTTCTATCAATCTGTTACTATTATGGTTAGTAAAACAGATCGACTCTTTTGAAGGGAACTGAAGGAAATGGAAACACCTGCCAGTGGATGGAAAAACTAACCCCGTTTGCCATAATTTTCATTAGCCAGAAATTGAAATTTTCCCGGCGCTAGCCCACCCCCTCCCACTCCCCCTCCTCCTGCTCCTCTTTTGTGCTGGTTAATGGACATTTTCGGCAATTGTCAATTAATAATTCATGTGTGCGGCACACATGTTGGCCACCTCAGTCCCTCGCCCCCCTCCCCCACAGCCCCGCCTCCTTGGCAGCCAAAATAGTTGGTTTAGTTTTTCCATTTGCGGTTTCGTTTGTCCACTCCACGGAAAATTGAACATCACGGCACGCAATTCGGGAAGGAGAAACGGAAAAGCGTTGCGAGCTTCACACGATCGATATGGCCGACTGGTAAATTATCTTTTCTGATGGGTGGGCGTGTTCGTGGGGGGTGGGCTTTGGGGTGTGGGTGGTGCGTCAGGTGCAAGGAAAACCCAACTGGCAATGCGCAATTTCGAAGGGAATTGCCTGGAGCGGGAAGGCGGAGGGGCAGGGGGTAATGCCTGATGGAGATCCAGTAATGGGGCCTGACATGCGTGTGTCAATCGCACAAAGGCCCGAAATTACCGGATGGTTGGAGGTGCTCTATTTGTAATGCTGACCTCTTTAGCAGCGCAAAAAATGGAGTCCAAGTTTGGTGTGTATTCTGTTCACGGCGCACTTGTGTTTGCACTCCATTTATTATGCAACAGAGGACAAGCAATTTGCTAAGTACACCCCAGCTAAAAGTCCTTCAAAAAAAAGTGGTCGGAAGCTATTCCACCCAGCCTTCAATTAGATGCCGTGACGAGCCTTTTATTTTTAACGCATTGCCATCATGCGTCAGTGTTAGCCTTCATCCTCATCAAACCAATCAAAGACCAATCTACAACTTAAAAATACAAAATAAAGCTTATATTTAGACAAATCATATGAATTTTCCAGCGAACAGTCTTCTAGTGCTTCCAATACAGGATCCACACACGAGGCATTAATAATATAAATGGCGCTGCTATTACCTTAGTTGGGGCACAGTGGCACTAATAACACAATGACCTTTACGCGAAACGACCCCATGGCCCCTCGGGGGGTTAAGGTTGGGGTGGCACTGGGCAATCGACATTAAAGTGATAAGCGCGCAAATTTCAGGACCTGGAACGGTCGCAATCTTGGTGGGGAAATCAAACTATTGCGGCATTGTTTTTTATAGACCACATCTATTGGGTTTGGGACAACGGCCAATAGACAAAGCTAATCGCCCACCACTGGACAGGTGCTCCATTTGAATACTTCGTAGCAAGTGGTGAAAATGGGTGTATTTGACCGGGGATTCAATTCCAGTATAAGAATCTAAGAATAAAACAAGAAAGGAAAGCTAACTTCGGGCGGAGCCGAAGTTGATATACCCTTGCAGAATACTCTGTAAATTATATTCTCCAAAATTATTCATATGATGCATTCTTAATACTCATAAAAATCCCAACTTCCTAACTTTAAAAACACCAAAGTTATAGCATTTCCAATCGTTCAGTTATATGGCAGCTATAAGATATAGTCGGCCGATCCTTATGAACTTTGGTAGGTCGGATTGATTGGCCAAAAATAAAACCCATAGAAAATCCCAACTTTCTAACTTTACAAACACCAAAGTTATGGCATTTCCGATCAATCAGTTATATGGCAGCTATAAGATATAGTCGGCCGATCCTTATGAAATTTGGTACGTCGGATTGATTGGCCAAATATAGAACCCACAGAAAGTCCCAACTTCCTAACTTAACAAACAGCAGAGTTATGGCATTTCCGATCAATCAGTTATATGGCAGCTATAGGATATAGTCGGCCGATCCCGGCCGTTCCGACTTATATACTGCGTGCAAAGGAAAGAAGGGTGTGTGCAAAGTTTCAACTCGATAGCTTTAAAACTGAGAGACTAGTTTGCGTAGAAACAGACAGACGGACAGACGGACAGACGGACAGACGGACATGGCTATATCAACTCAGGAGGTGATCCTGATCAAGAATATATATACTTTATAGGGTCGGAGATGTCTTTTTCACTGCGTTGCACACTTTTGACCAAAATTATAATACCCTCTGCAAGGGTATAAAAATACCTATTAAAATACATATATATTACGGACATAAAACTAATATTTGATATAATTTAAACTGACACTAACATCGAAACAAAATCATTCATTGATATGCATTAAAACCACATCAAGTAGGTTTCTTCAAGAAAAACCTTTTTACAGGGTATCTAATAACTATCATGCTTTCGGCAACTCCTTTATTTTTTGGCAGCCGCAGTCTAATTATGTGGCAGTACAATGAAGGCGGTCCATGAATTTTTCATGGCCCACGTATGCCAAGACATGCAATGTTGGAGCCAACTGGCCAACTGACAATTTGGATAGAAAATAGATGGAGTTCGGCTTGGGAGATGGGGGCTGGAGCTCCCAACTTGCGTAAGAACCCACGCAATTTCACAGCGTGGAATTTCCCCACTCTCGTTTATTGTAAACTTTTCATTGGGACACACGGGCACTTGTGAAGTCGAAGCTCATCAAATTTTTATGCCATGGCATAATTCCATAAATGGGCCATGGAATGACCCACCTGAAAAGGGCCATATGTTCCACCCCCTCGGAAAAAAGAACACTCCACAATAATTCGCATGCCCAAATCGAAACTGCCAAAGTCGAATCCCCGGCTAAATGGTCAATAGGCTGTGCTCATCATAATTGGTATTTATTGAAAATGCGTTTTGGTTAACCCATTGAGTGTTCATAACCATAACCCTTGCTCTCGAATCGAGAGAGGGTTAAGGGTGGACAATCGAAGGCCTGGGTATTGTGTTTATAGCTTTTCATTTGCATTTATTGCCATTTCAATACGTGTGGCTATCAGGCTTGGCAATTCGAGGCGTTTAGCGCAAATTTCTTTTCAATATTTGTGCACCCAATAAACCCAAATGGTCAGTTAGCCAGGGCCGTTTTATTCGATTCGTTCTTCCAATTTGATTGCAAATTTGGTTTTTCGACTTTAATGCCAACTGCGTGCTGGGAATTTGAGCCTAAATCGTTGGTGGTTTGAAAGTGCTTCAATCGGAAATGGTTCTCCTGTAATCGGGAATTATTTGTTCTGGCTAATTAATCACTGGAGTGCACTATTATGTGTCCCGCGCTAATTACGCTTTTTCAATATTTGTCTAAGGAACTGCTGGCCAAATCAAATATGTTCGTTTGCTTTCATTCGACGTATTTCACTGACAGTCGGCCTAATGGTAATTTCTTGAGCGATTGACTAGTTCACCTTTTCTAAGGGTAAATTCCATTAGCATACGGCCTATTAATTAGCCAAAAAAGAATGTGTCTTAAGTGGAGGGAGTTGTTTGAAGTGGTCATTTAGGTGCTTAGAGTTTCGGGATTTAATTGGGGCAGAACTGTACCTTTTTAGCGATAAAATATTTTGATATCGATACAAGAAAATGTATGTGAGTAAACCCACTTAAAAATGTCCATCATGTAAATTAGTCAATATCTATTGTAGTTGATTACAAATTCTGAAATTACAGTTTTCTGAGTGCTA